AAACCCACAGCCCTAAACCCAAAACCCAAAACCCATGGGGTTTGGGGGTTGAAGGATCTTGCTTTGCTGTCGAAGGAATGGTTCAGCACTTCGGCTTCCAGCTCCCAGCCTCTGCACCTGCTGCACCATGGGCACCTGCACCTGAGGGCTGGTAGGATTTTAAACTAAACGACTTAAGTCCGTGTTTAGGTTTTAGCGCTTTGGGGCTTAAGCCCAAGTTTAGGTTTTAGGTGGTTCTATATTTAAGTCGCAAGTTTAGGCTTTAGGGTTTGGGGGTAAGGCCCAAGTTTAGGCTTTAGGGTTTCGGGCCTTTTTTTTGTGTCCCAAGTTTAGGTTTGACTGTTTTGGGTCTTAAAGTCCTGCTCCCTGCGCCCGTGGCGTGGAATGCCCAATACCCGCCTGTTTCTGACCATGAGGACTCCATGATACTCACCGTCAGTTATTATATCAATGGTACTACTACTACTACTACTACTACTACTACTACTAGTACTACTACTACATTGGCTACATCAGTCTTGTTACCAGTTGAATTTTATTATCAGAATTGTCATTGGCATTCTCAAGTATTCTTCTTGAATAAGGGCAATTTCGGGGGCCCTTGCCTGCTTCTGAACGGGCACTTGGACGACCTGGTCTTCGTACTGGAGCTGCGGCACTTCAATCTGCCTGGCAGGGAAATTCTGGGCTTAGGGTTAGGGCTTTAGGAGGATATAGACCCCTAGGGTCATGGATATAGGATCCCTATACAAACCCTATTATAACTTATGCTAGCCTAGATCCCCACAACAGACGACCAAAACGCCCCCTACGACCAGGACGACCACGACGAGGATGACCCGGCGCCGCCAGGAGACCACGGGAACCCTAAAGCCTAAACACAGGAGACCCCAGGAAACCACCTAGAGACCTCGAGGAGACGACCCGAAGACCAGGAAACCACCAAAGCCCACCAGGCCATCATGAGGCCCAGAATGACTATGTCATATGAATATCAGATTGACATTATATAAAACTTATGTCAGTCTTATATTGATATTATATAAATGTTATTTTATCAGTAAAGTATACTATACCACCCCAGGAGAATCAGGCCCAGAATGACACCCCACTTAAAGGATCATGGGACGTAGTAACTACGGCTATGATGAACATAACCATGCTTATTATTGTTTATCATCCCAACTAGGGCAGCTCTAACTTTGAATACTCAATCCCATGATTCTCCAAGCAGGAGACCACGAGGACATCAGCAGCAAACCAGGGCCCACCAGTAATTATAGTATTTAGGTTAGACCAGTAGGCCACCAAGACTCCACGGCCAAACTGCTTCCATCTCAAGTACTGGAGTACTGGCGGGACTTAGGAGGACGGCCAAAATGCTTTCCCCCAAGTACTGGTGGGATTCGGAGAGCCCGGTAGCGTGTGTCGCACTGTTTGGGGAACCATTGGAGCCCCTATAGAAGGGTTGTACGTTCAGGCTTCAATCTGCCGAGGCCCAGACAACGAGCTGCATGCACGATGACAAAGCAAGGCAGAGGGTAATGTCGACAGGAGCTGCAGCTGCAAAAACAATAGCACTGATGGAAGTCAAGAGAACTGGTGATGGTGGTGATCATGATGCTGCTGCTGCTGATGCTACTGCTAATGCTGATGATGTTGTTGATGATGACCATGATGATGGTGGTGGTGGTGGTGGTGATGATGATGGTGGTGGTGATCCTGCTGATGATGATGATGATGATGATGGTGATGCCGATGGCTATGGTGATTATGAGGAAAATCGTGATACTGATCTGGTCTGATGTGCTGAGCAGAACTCCATGCCCGGGATTGATGCAGGCTTAAGCAAGCACAATCAACTCACGAAACCCTACAAGAGATATCAATCAATCGCGGCGGTGGGTGCAAACAGCTCACCCGTCACAGGAGGTGCAGTGCTGCTGGAAGTGGAGTACAACGGTGCTACCGAGACGACAGTCGCAGGTAAAGCCATGTGAATGCAGCAAGTGCAGCTGCAACAGAACGAACAGCAACACAAAGCAGAAGAAGTACTGTACCAGCAGCACACAGCAACAACAACGGCGACAAATGTGCTTCTCCTACTGCTAGCTGACGACTAGCGACATGAAGTCGCCACCTTCATCCCTTATGACTTGACAGCAATATCATGAGAACCAGCCCATCTTCTTGATCTCCAGCGCATCTACCACCATCATCATCTTCGACCCCCCGCTCCCAACTCCGCACGAACACCCGAAGTCTACAACTACGTCCTAACCTCGAGCACGAACCGAACACCCTGAACCCTAAACCCTACCACCTACAAGCCCCCAAACCGGCCTCTGAACAGTCTGCACCATGGGGATCTGCACCTGCTTCTGGACGGGCACCTCCACGACCTGGTCCTTCCATAGGTCACTGCCGTCTGGAAGTCTTAGACTCTCTTAAGGTTTAGGGGTACTGGGGCAACCTGTGAGGTTAATAATTAGCTATACCAGCATAACTCTGAACATCGACGGGGTCATATCTATGAATGTCGGATTCGGATTTCTCGGATGTACCTGAAACCTTCAGCTGGAATTTGCTGTTTAGGGGCGAGGGCTTTTCACCATAAACATGAAATCGCGAACACTTGGCATCCGTATTGCCGACCCGACCACCTAACATGGAAGTCCTCGTACTGGATCTGCGGCACTTCCACCTGCCTGCAGGTGCCGCGTTGGTCTTCTAGCTGTACTTTGGGGTTTTGGGTTTACTAAACCCTAAACCCTAAACCCTACTAAACCCTCAACCCGGAACCCTCGGTCTGGGGTTCCAGGTTCCGCAGCAAGCTCGGGAGAGTCCCACAAACAGAGACCCAGAAGCGCTCGCAGAGGTTCCAGAAAGCTTTTTATTATGCTGCTCTGCTGCCGGCGACGGTGAAGGAGCTACCAGTAGAAACCTTCTGGCAAGCTAAATGTAGACCTGTGGAAACCTTATGTTTCGGTTTAGAATAACTAGAATCCTAGCTCCTGTTCTTCAAGCGCTCCTGCACAGCACTGCTGTCACCACCACCGCCCGCATTACCCCAGGTAACGACCGATCCATCGCCAAGGATGGCAGCAAAAGCGACTTTAGTGGCTTCGATCTGCTGCACAGTCTTCAGCTGACCCTGCACAGCACGACTGTCACCACCATCACGACCATCACCCCAAGTCACGACGGAACCATCACCCAGAATGGCAGCGAAAGCGGTGCTAGTGGCGTGGATCTGCTGCACATTCTTCAGCTGACCCTGCACAGCACCACAGACCCCAGCATCGATAAGATCACCCCAGGTTACGACAGCTCCATCGACAAGGATGGCAGCAAAAGCGCTGTGAGAGGCTGTGATCTGCTTCACATTTTGCAGTTGATCCTGCACCGAACTACTGTCACCACCGAAAGCAGGATTACCCCAAGTCACGACGGATCCATCACCAACAATGGCAGCAAAAGCGTAGTCAGTGGCTTCCATCTGCTGCACATTCTTAAGCTGATCCTGCACCGCACTACTGTCACCGCCAGACCAAGCATCACCCCATGTGACGACCGATCCATGGCCAAGAATCGCGGCAAAAGCGTGGTTAGTGGCGTGGATCTGCTGCACTTTCTTCAGCTGATGCTGCACAGGACGGCAGTCGCCCCCAAAGCGAGAATCACCCCAAGTAAAGACAGACCCGTCGGGACGTATAGCAGCGAAAGCGATTTGATTGGCGCGGACCTGCAGAGCACCACTGTCGCCACAATACCCCGCACCCCAATAACTAAACCCACCCCAGGTCACGACAGATCCATCGGCAAGAATGGCTGTAAAAGCCTTGTCAGTAGATTGGACCTCCTGCACATTCTTCAGCTGACCCTGCACCGCGCTACTGTCACCACCGTAGTCAGCATCGCCCCAGGCCACGACCGATCCATCACCAAGAACGGCAGCAAATGCCCTGTCAGAGGCTTGAACTTGAACTTGCGTCCTGTGCAAGGTCAGGAAGTCGCTGCTCTGAACCCTGGCATCCTTGATCGTTGCACATGCATCCAGAACATTTCCGGATGAGTCCAGCAGCCGCCCTTTTCCAACTCCAAGTGCGATCTGCGCCCGAAGTGCTAATGCCTCCACCTGTTCATCCTGGTGTGCTTCTAAAGTAATCGCTTTGCCGCTGAGAAGTCCAACCTCCACCATGACCGACATCTTGCCACCAAGATCCTACAACCTCACCAGTTGTCTAGCTTCGGGTGTCGGGGGAAGAACAGGATAAAGTTTTAGAGTTTAGGGTTACATGTGCAGTTTCCAGGCATAAGCTGTTAAGTGCTTTGTCACTCGGTCCGCAAATCGGCAGTCCACCTGAGCCCCTGTGAAAAACGATCGCAAGTAAGCGTCGCGAGACGTTGAACCCACAACCCTCAGAAAAAACTGAACCTAAAACCCCCAAACTGTGTAGAACCCTTGTAATCTCCCTGTAAGGCTTTAAACGTTGCAAACAGATTCAGATCCTACAGCTTTCACGGAATTTGTGGTCAGTTAGAATCCAAGGGCTCCAGGCCTACAGGGATAAAGTTTAGTCTATAAGTGTTTGAAGTTTAGCATTTAAGTTTTTGGGAACTGGTGTTGATTCCGGGCTTCTGTCGTGAAGGGGATTGCCATGGTAGAGGCTGTTGGTGTTTGGAGCTTGAAGGTGCTTTGAGAGAACGTAAGGGTCTTCCCCCGAAAGCTTCGCGCAGATCCTTTCAAGGCCTCCGGGCAGAAATCCGAAGTCCCGAGAACCGGCCTCTGCACAGTTTGGACCATGGGGATCTGCACCTGCTTCTGGACTGGCACCTCGACGACCTGGTCCTCAACTCGCACTTCTTCGCAGAAATATATATGTACATACATACATACATACATACATACATACATACATACATACATACATATATACATATATACACATATACATATATATATATATAGAAAAAATTATATATATATATACACATATAGTTTAATCGCGGCAGCCACCAATGCTTCCAACTCGCAGGCGCCAGGAGTGGCTTGTATACCGTAGATGACACCTACCTAGTATTCATGTAGCAGCATCCTACTAGGGCACTAAGGCCTCTGTCAACAGCCCACACATGCTCAGCGGTCCTCATACTGGAGTTGCGGAACCTCGATCTGCCTCATGATGGTTTCGGGTGGTGGACTTCGGCTGCGGGATGCACGGTGTAGGAGTTCTGGGTTCGGACTCTGGGGCAGCGAGGTTCAGATTCTTGCTGCCGCTATCATGCCTGCACCTGTTGATTCTGGCCTTTGGCTTGGTTTGTGGGTCCCCGTTGCACTGGTCGTCGTTGGCATCAAGGCACTGGAACTTAGATCCATGCTGTGGCAGCCAGGATTCAGCGTTTTGTGCAATACATACGGAAGGTTCGTTGGTACGGTCCATGGTGGGATCCTCGTTCAAGATATTGCCGCCTCGCTTATGCTATTAGTGTCACGACTGGAGCTTGCTTTCTCCTGCCGACAGAACCCTTTGTTCAGACCCCAAGCCCCCAAACACCCTCATGTTCGGCACTTGCTCTGCACTGGACCCTGCCTCTGAACGGTCTGCACCATTGGGATCTGCACCTGCTTCTGCACAGGTACCTCCACGATCTGGTCCTCCGCAAGTGCAGTCGTCGTTCTAATTTGGGGCCCCCTCTAGGGTGCTACATGAACTCTTGTATGCTGCTGCCCCAGTGGATGCGCCCAGAAATCCTCAAAAAGAGCAACTCCACTGCCTCCGTCCTAGAGCATGAGCGGCGGCCTGCTCTTCATACTGGAATTTAGGAGATCTGGTGGTCATGGCAGCGAAGAAGATGACGTGCTAAGAACCTCATAACACCCTGTGAAGCCCTGTTAAGCCTCTTCAAAAAACATGTAGATGGTAGGTCACGGTGACGCTGGTCCTCATACTGGATCTGGGGCACCTCCACGGTTTTCTGAACCTTCTGGACGATGGGCACCTGTACCTCGTAGGGAAGGCCAAGGGCTTGGGTTGTTGGGGCTTTATCCTTTAGGCCATGAGCTTGGAGAAATACTCAGGTTATGCCGCAATGCAAAGCGGGCCTGCGTCTGGATGGGTACCTGCACCACCTGGTCCTCGTACTGGACCTGAGGAACCTCGACAGTCTTCTGGACCTTCTGCACCACCGGGACGTGCACCTGAACTGTGTGGCTGCCCCAAAAAAGCAACTCCAGATGGGCGATCACGGGAGCCGAGCACGCCTGCTTCTGGATAGGGACCTGCACGACCTCCTCCTCAAAGACCACCTGTGGCACCTCCACCTCTTTCGTGATCGTCTGGATCATGGGCACGTGCACCTCTCTCACACACACACACGAAATAATGTCTAGAAAAGTTTCATGTGCTCGCCGCTGTCGTGCGGCACCGCATAGCTAGGACCCTGACAAATTCCGGGGTTGAGAGTTAGAGCTCCTGATCCTATCCAGGAAGGGCGCGGCAACTCTGCGAGCACCCTCAGCCCTTGAACCAATGCCCAACAACCACGCAGAAGCTTTCAAAGGCAATACCCCCACTAGGAAGGTAAACCCCGAAGAAGACCCGAGGCAACGCGCCTGCTTGTGAACGGGGACTTCGATGTGGTGGTCGGTGTACTCCACCTGAGGCACCTGCTTCGAGAATTGTCCGGCAAGACTGGGACCAATGGTTAGGAGCTTTAGGCGAGGGCTTGTAGGGCTTCGTAGTTTGGGGTTAGGGGTTTGGGGCTTCAGGATCCTTAACGGACCCACAATAGCGGGAGAATATCCCGCCCTGATCCCAGTCTGGTTCCTGAGCCCTGAACCCTAACTAACCCCGAAAACCTGAATCCCCAAAGCCCAAAACCAAAAATGCCAGGATCCCTCACCCCCTGAACCCAAGACTTCACTTCCCCCAATAATGTTAGGAAACAGAAGGCCTAAACTAAACCCCCTGCAAGTGCACAGTACCCCTCCGGTAACTTTCGGAGTGCTACCCCAGCGTAGGAATCCAACTGGATTGAAGCTTTGGCCGTGGAGAACTGGCGCGGCCCTGAAAATCAGAACAGGGGCCTTGGTCTTCTCTAGTGATAAGTCGTACTATGAAACATCTAGCGCTGTTTTGTTTATGATAATTCGGAACCCTAAGGAACCGTACCATGAAATTCTTCAACCATTTTAGGACGCAGAGGCCCGAGGCCTGAATCTGCTTCTCGACTTTCTGGACCATTGGCACCTGCCTTCGGAAGGAGGGTTTAGGGTTTAGGGTTTAGGCTTTAGGGTTTAGGGTTTAGGGTTTAGGTTCGAGGAAGTGGCTCTGCATGTTTGGCGATGGAAGTAACATATTCCCTGGGATTCCTATCTAGTTATCGTACCCAAGCCCCATTCTAATTGTGATGGCCCATATATGCTGTTTCGAAAGCAAGATGGCCATCCGAAGGCACATGCTTGCGTGTTGATCCATTAAAGCACACACACTCGCACAGTTGGTAACTCTGCTTCTGGAGCTTGGCCTTCCAACATCAAGACAGACCAAAACCACAAGCTGAGCAATTTCCTTTATTGTACCAATGTAATATAACGTAATATCAAATGATACATTAGACTGTAATTCAACATGATGCAACCAAACATAACATAGTATGATGTGAGACAAGATATAATGTGAAAAATAATGGGGTAGAATAGAATAGAACAGAATATGACATCATATAATATGATGTATAGTAGAATATAGTACAGTATATCAGTTGTGCCCGCCTGTGTTTCACAACGGGCACATCGACGATCTGCTCAACCTCCTGCATCACAGGCACCGACACCTGGCAGCCGGTGCAGAAAACATCCAGAAACAAAGGGAACTTCCATCCCGAGCAGCCTGGCGTGGGGGGTTGTGGTTTCAAGGACTAGACAATGGAAAGCCTTGTGAAATTTCGAAACTTCTTCAGACGGTTGCTTGAAACTAAACCCTACAAGTAACCCCTACAACGAGTCCCAGTATCATCAACCTCACCCCCAAACCCTGCAAGGGCTTTTCATGACAGGCCTGGAAGGTGAGATCACTGGAGTTTCGTGTCCGACGCTACCCTCCAACATGGTAGTATGGAAGGCTACACGTCGTTCGTCCCACTCCGATCGGCAGATCCCTAAACTAGGGTCCTTTGTGGGATCCCCAATATAGTACGGCACCCTTACAAAAAGGACCCCGCAAGGGACCCTAATTAAGAGAGCTAACCCATAGGAGTTTTTAGGCCACGATCGTGGGCTGAGCATTTGGCTTCGGCTGTGCGAGGCTTTACGGCTTAAGGCCTTTTTGGGCTAGAAAGGGTTTGAGGGCTAGAAAGGCAGTTTCGTGTGTCGAGGACCGGAAAGCGATGTATGCTGTGTATGTGTGTATATATATATATACACAGGGCTCCGATATTGCACGGAGAGGCCTAAATATGAAACTACCGATCGCGAGTGAGTTACTTCGTTGACCCAAAGCCTGACGCCAACCGTACACCCGTAGCCCGACGCCCTAAACCTATCCTAACCTGAAGCCCGAAGACCCTCACCCCTTAGATCCTAAAGCCCTAAACCACTACTATCCTAAACTCCTGAAAGATAACCCCCTAAGCCCTAAACCCTTTAAATGCTGGGCCTGCTTCTCAACGACCTTCTGGACCGGAACGTGCTGCACCATCACCTGTGGTCAAAGCAAGGAGCTCTCTTAGGTGCTTCAGGGGTAAGTATCACATTTGCTAGGGGCTAAATGGGCTCTACAACGCTTCTAACAGGTTCTATGGCGGCTTTATTCTCAGGGTGTTGTAGTGATTTTTCCTGGCAGGGTTCAAGGTTTAGGGCTTAAAGTTGAAGGGCCCTCAGCGATAAGGCTTTTGCAGGGCTGCAGGTGTTCAGCTTGAAGTGTAAGGCTTTAAGGTTTGAGGGCTCACGCGCTTAAGGTTGAGGGATGTGGGAGTTTAGGCGTGGAGGATCTCGAGCTTGGTGTAAGGTTTTTGGTGCAAAGCTTAGGGTGCAAGGCTCAGGGTTTGGGGGTTTAGCAGTGTAGCGATTCCGGGTTTAGAGGGTTTAGGAGGTTCAGGGAATGCAGCTTCAATTTCTGCCTGCGCAGAAAACGTCGAGCATAAGTTTCGGGGGGTTAGGTGCAGTCCTCAGACAGATCTTGATGCTCGAATCGCGCACCTGTTTCATGTCAAGCGCCTGATGAGGATGCCCCTGAAAAGTTAACATCAGAACTTGTGAAGGAGGTACATTGCACTATATCAAAATCAGTAACCCTCATAGACCCCTGTTTGGTAACCCTTATACCCTACCCTAAACCCTGAACCCCGAACCCTAAACCCTAAAACCCTGAACCCTAAACCCTGAACCCTAAAAGCCTTTAGAACTCAAATAGAAATCGATAAAGAGACCTTGAATTGTGGTTTTCAGGGTTTCAGGACCAACTGGCGCCACCTCTGAACCGACGGGCTTACAGTTTAGGGCTTAAGAATTTAAGGGGTGTAGGAGTCCAGAGATCTAGGGTTAGGGTTTAGGGTTTAGGGTTGTTGAGGGATTTAGTGTTCAGGCTTAGTAGGGGTTGTAGGGCGCAAGGTTTCCCAAGCCCGCCTTCGGAATCTGCACGATGTCCTTCGGCGGCGGTGCACAGCAATTGCAATGCTTAACTATCAGGTACCCCTCCAAGACCTTGCAAATAATCTCGTACAAAATCATGGACCATAATACAATATGACAGATACTAGCATTACACTATTTTCTATATTTGAATAAAAAATTATACATATGTATGTACATATATATATATATGTATTTGCAGATTATCTGCCGCTTCACGAAGGCCCCCTTCGCTCTTTCGCCTTGGAAAGTCTTGCTCCGGCCCCCGAGTCGTACTCCAAGAAAGAGGCTTTCAGCGTTGAGGGATGAAGCACAGGTCTATCATAGGTCCTAAAGAGAGCAGAACAGTCTGGAGCTTGGGTTCCAAGAGACTCCCTCAAAGTGGCGAGGGTCTCGGATGTGCCGCAGCTTAGGAGTTTAGGGCTTCGGGGCTCGCCGAGTGGAGCCTGATGCGTGCGCAATCAGCACTCGTGAAGAAAGTACGGACCAAGGGTGCAGTGCAAACTAGCATGGTGCAAATCGGATCTCGCCGGTCTAGATGACAGAAAGAATCACATGGTAGTGGCTTCTGCATAGAAGGAGCTCAGCACACTCGGTGTCCTCCTGCACGATGGGCTTCTTGCGCTGGACCACCTTGTGAACCTCAGCATAACGGCAACCTTCACAAGTATCAGAATACCTGTTGATCGACTCTCATGTCTCAAGCAGCTCTTGGCTGTAACTGCTCCGACCCCAAACCCTAAACCGCTAGATCTGGCACCCTGTGCCCTGTATACCACAAGAAGGAAATCCCGAATCCGCCCCCATCGCCCAGCTTGGCGCGGAACCACCACCGGCTTCACGACTTCCACGGTTTCCACGGTGTTTTGAACCACGGTGTCCACCACTGTGTTCAGCACCTTGCTGCGAGCAGCCATTTCACAATACATGATGGTCATGGTGATGCTAACAAAGAGAGATGATGGTGATGGTGGTGATGGCGGAGATGATACTGGTGGTGATGGTGGTGATGACAGTGGTGGTGATAGCGTCATGGTGGCAACAGTGCCGATTGCCGTTGTTAACTGTTCTTGCGGAAGCTTAGCTGTCTTCGCTGCATTGTCATCAACGAGAAGGCTTTGGCCGGCGGGAGGGGTTCGGACCAAGATATCAGGTGCTTGACAGCAGAGCCGTGATGGTCGCAGAACTCCAGAGGTTGGGAATGAGGGGAGAGGTTCAGAAGCTTTTCCTGTTGGAAGAAAGCTCTGTTAATGTAGAGGCCCTTCAAATTCTGGGTTTGGGGTAAATTCCTGTGTATTTAGAATAATGAAACAGATTTGGTAATTATTCAGGTTTCCTGCCCATAGTTTAGGGCTCATTGGCTCGGACCGGGTGCTGGCGCTGTGAGTGTGAAGAACTCAGGATGCTGAAGCTTAGCTTTCTTTTTAGTATGTTTTTGTTCAAGAGCCGTTGGGTCCAAACTGTCGCTCCTGGGTTTAATCAAGGCTGGCTCAATGAAGAGTTGTCGCGACCCCCCTAAGCCGCCAACGATCGGCCCGAAAACTCTTCAGGGCTTTTAGGGAGGGTTTAGGATTTAGGGTTTAGGGTTTAAGGTCTAGGGTTTGTGGGGGATTCTGGGGTCTAGCAGCCTTACTTGAAGCCCCGAACCCACAATCCCCAAAGCACCGTTGAAACCCAAAGCCTCTAAGTACCCAAAGACCCCGAACCCCCGGAACTGCCGCCGCGTGGCCTTCGGCACCTTGATCACCTTCTCCTCGACGTGCACGGTGGGCACCTTTCGGCCAGGGATCTTCAGGATTCGAGTTTGCTGGTAGGGGTTCCTTTAAGGGGTTTAGGGTTTAGGGTTTAGGGGGGTTTAGGGGGTAGGGGTTCCTTTTAAGGGGTTACTGTTGTGGGGTTGCCCATAAGATCTACTCTAGGAGCTGCCGTGGGGCCTAGGAATACTATCAGGACTTTGGGGGTTAGGGCTTGGGGCTTAGGGTCCTACAAGGTTTAGGGGTTCGAGGATTTGTTTCTAGTTCCCTACGGCCACAAAGTCGGATTCTTGCAGAGAAGTTGTGGGCATTTTGTGTGCCAGACCGCTCTAAGAATAGCCATGGTCCCCAAATTCGAACACGGGACCAAACCCGAAACCCCAAACCCTCAACCCTAAACCCTGAGCCCTACACCCTAAAAGGCCCTGAAGCTTCAAAAATCGTGCCTGGACCGTCTTCTCGATGACCACCGGACGAGGCACTTCGACCTCGTGACGGTATGTAATCGGGCACAGATGCTATTGGTTTTGGGTTGGGCGTAGCATACGGAAGCTTTGTGTCAATGGCTCTAGTCGTTGACCTCTACTACCGCTGCTGGCGCTGTTGCTACGGCTACGGCTGCGATTGCGACGCTGACTACGACTACGACTGACTGCGACTACTACTACCAATACTACTACTACTACTACTACTACTACTACCACTACTACCACCACTACTACTACCACCACTACCACGACGACGACGACGACGACGACCACGACTTCACGACTTCACGACTGAGACCGTTAGAACCGAAGTCCAGGACCCCAGTACTTCTCCGCCCGAAAGCCTGCACAAAGCGACAGCTCAGCAACCCCCTTGCCCAAAACTCTCTCAATACCACTCGACCCGTCTCAACAGCAGGTTTGAACAACGACCATGGCCGGAAGTTAACACCCAAGAAAATTGGATTCCAAAACACCAAAGAAACCTACACCCAAGAGTAACTCTCACGGACATCACCGACCTTCTTACCCAACACCATCAACCCGACCCTGAACCCCTAACCTACAGCTGAGCCGTTAGCCTGCAAGCAGCTTTTGTCAAGTCTAGTTTCTAGCAGATGAGCCTCGAGCCCTTCCTCAGAACCTCGACTTGCAATGCAAAACGCGCACAACAGCTACCTGAAGCCGTAGAACCACAACTCACCAAAATCCCCAAGCCTCAAACCCTAACGAAACCCCAAGACCCTAAAGCGTGGAGATGCGGTTTAGGGTTTAGGGTTCAGAGTTAGAGTTTAGGGCTTGGCGTTTAGAGAGTTTAGGGTTTGCCTGAACGCCACATGACCTGCCTTTTTAAGGACTAAAAACAGGAAACCAGATCAAGGAACCCCAAAAAACCGTGGGTTCCTTGGGGTCCAGGTAGGGTTTAGGGCCCCTAAACCCTAAACCCTAAACCCCTAAACCCTAAACCCTAAACCCCTAACCCCTAAACCCTAAACCCCTAAAACCACAGCCCCGAGGACCTCGAGGTCGACAGGGTTGTGGACGATTTTCTCAACCTTCTGGACCTCCCCCAGGCGTTCGAAGGCTTAAAGGGGCCATAGGGTGTCGGAGTTGTAGGAGTTGAAGTTTAGGGTTTCGGGTTTAGGTTGAAGATGGCGTTAAGTTTTAAGGTTTAGGGTTTGAAGTTCGGGGGCTTAATTAGGGTTTAAGGTTCCATGGATTAGCAGCCGTCGGTGCTTCAGAGCTGGAGGAGTGACGACTGGGGTGTTAAGGATGATGAGTCATAATGCTATGCCGCAAAAAGATCGGATGATGATGCTGGACCCTACAGACCCTATAGATCCTATAAACCTAAACCCACCCAATTAGCCCCATAAGCCCTAAAAGGAAACCTACAAGCCCCATACAAACCCAACAAAAGGGGGCAAAGCAACGCGTCGTGAAGTGAAAAAGAGCTGAAACCCGAGGTCTACGCTCCGACACGTAACCCCCAAAGCTGAAACCACGAGACTTCATGAATCAGGCTGTTTACGGCTTAGGGTTTAGGGCTTAGGGTTTTGGGGGGTTCAATGTTGAGGCTTTAGGGTTTAGGGTTTAGGATCATTTCCCCAGGGCTTTTGATGAAGGTATATGGGACTCCTTTGGTGTGTTATGGTATATGTTGATCAATGTATATTTCGAACGCTTTCCTGGGGTACTACTAGGGCAGTCGAGATTTAAACATCCAGATCATATCTAAGCAGAACTCTCAACCCTGGACCCCTACGACACAAGCACAGCTCCGTCCACAAAGCTCTACGAGGACATATCCCTGCCCCGCTTTACTTTAGCAATTGGATTCTTGCGCAGCGCCTGTATTTGGTCCTAACCGTACACGAAAAAGAAGGATCACTGGGCAGCTCCTAACCCTCACCCCTAAACCCCTAAACCCTAAACCCTGACCCCTAAACCCTAAACCCTAAAGCCCCTTTGCATACAAACAATACTTTCTGTCCCTAAAACCCTAGACCCTAAGAGTTCCAAAGGACACCTTCGGGACTTTAGCCGGGTAAGGGTTTAGGGCTTAGGGGTTTAGGTTTAGAGCTTGGGGTTTAGGCTTTAGGGTTGCGGGGTTTGGGTCGTTGAGAAGGCCTTGGCGCGGCTTTCGCAGCCCTCTGAGCATTTCTGCCAAAGCGATCGGGTAGGAACCGGTGGACTGGCCAGCAAAAGCCCCAAGCCCTAAACCCTGAAACCCTTGAATGACCCTAAACCCTAAACCCTAAACCCTGAAACCCTTGAAGGTCATGGAATGTGTTCCCATGCCTTCGGAACATGCACGATTTGCTCGACGCGCTGCTCCACCGGGACATCCACAATCTCCTGGCAGCAGCTTCTAAAAATCCCAATATTAGGGTTTAGGGTTTAGGGGTTAGGGTTTAGGGGTTAGGGGTTAGGGTTTCGGGTTTAGGGTTTAGGGTTTAGGGATTTATGGTGGAACCCCGGGTCCCAAAGCCCTCAGGCCGTGAGCGCAGAGTACAGGGTTGCACGTCTACCTGATCTAGGCACGGTTTAGGGTTTAGCGTTTGGGGTTTAGGGGTTTAGGGTTTTGGGTTTGGGGTTTAGGGTTTAGGGTTTAGGGACGTTGCCCGGGTCTTCCAGTCCGACATCCCTTAATTCAGGAATATGCCTTAGGGTCGTTAATATGATTTGGGTATATTCCTTGATGAAGGGATATTGGAAGAATCGGGCAATAGGTTGAATAGGATTCCAAAAGTGCTTCATGAAAAGATTCTAGAAGGGTTACTATCGGGGATACTATGTGGGTTTTGAAAACGCAAAACCGCAAAAGCTGGTTTGCAACTCGGGAAAGCGGTAGTGACGCTATAGGGGCCTTAACAAGGGCCTGGGGAGAGTTTAGGGTGGGACTAGAAAGGGATAGTGTCAGCCTTGCTAATCTTCGGACCCCTATATCCGTGGCGGTGGCCGTAGTAGGAATAGTCATAGTAACAGTAGCAGGGGTTTAGGGTCAGGATCCAGAGCTGCAACGAGAATACTACCGTGTAATCCTGACATGCTACACGTGAAGTCCCAAGCACACCCCCAAGCGCAAACCTCTTTTTTTTTTTGTCGCCCCTTTTCCCTCGGCCTGTGAAGGTCTCAAGAATGCCAGTCTGGCTGAGGCACCATGCGGGAGGTGCTGTTAAGAACCCCAATAATCCGATAAGCATAGCCCCAAGAGAACATCAAACCTCTAAGCCTCAAACCCCTGGCAAAACAGGGTCAGCTCTGGGACAGTTTCTCCCGCTGGCTACCTCGACGTGGAAGTGGTGGGCGCGTTCCTGCTGAATCACCTTCGGCACATGGACCACCTGCTCCTGGCATACGGTTTTTGGGCCAAGTTTAGGGTCGTACAATGTTGTAAGGAGGGCAGGGTTGAGGGCGGACGCTTTGGACGGTGAGGTTGTTCTGCTGTAGGTGTTGGGTGTAATCAGTGTGTCCGCCACTACCACGGTCCATGTTCCACAGGATTATACCACGAAGCTGACGACACAAGCAGTACAGCTGTAACTATAACCAGGATGATGACAATACCTTAATGCCAAAGCAGCCATGTTTGAGGTCCTGCGTCATGGGCACGTGGACTTCGACCACTTGCTCCACGTGTTGGTGCATCACCCGCTCCTTGCGTGAAGGAGGTTCGGGTCCGGAGGTACCCCGAAACCATCGATAAACCCAAGGGCCCCCAGCACTTCAGGATTGAATTCGGAGGATGCTTTGGCAGCATTGCCAAGAGATGGGTAGAGGGAGGTACTGACAGACCACAAACATCCCAAACCCTAGAACCCCAAACCTAACGCATCCCGACAAGGTCCTGCTCAATGACCTTTGGCACGTGGACGACCTGCTCCTGGTTTGACCGCGGGGGCTTTGGAGGGGAGTTCTTCATAAGGTTTCAGCAGGTCAGAGGTTTCATGAAAGAGCTTTAGCCGGGCTCTAGATGTGTTTACGTTTGGGGTTTAAGATAATTCGAAACTAAGCGACTTTCGGTGATTAGGTTGCGAATTTAGGGTAGTTGGTTTTGGGGGGTGAAAGGTGACTTGGATGTTGTTGTATGTGTTGTTAACTGAAGACAATTTCGATTCAGCTTGATCAAGAACTTCGGTTGCAGAGCCTACGCCACCTCTTGTCAGCAGTCTTTCTGCTGTCACGACACGCAAGACTTGATGTCTGTTGCCCTGTGCAAGCCGACTGAGCAATGTTTGGTAGTACAGTCAGCGCTTGCGAGTATGGCTATGCAGTGCTCAGCTGAGACGGATGCTGGAGCCTGACCCACAGCGGGGTCTTGCGTGATGATGCAAAGCCCCAGTGGCTGTCCCCAGTGTTTATTGCTGCCATGGATCAAGCGTATACTGACAATCAGAGCTGTAATGTACAGCTTGAGAAAACCCTTCACGACCCGAAACGAGTTTCAAAGCGGTTTCAAACATCCAGCCCTCGACTAGGGCCAGGGTTCAGGGTTGAGGGCTTAGGATGTGTGGTCCTTTTCAGGGTTCCCAATCGATGCCCGGAAAACCTGACACAGCGGCCCGAGGCTTCGGCCCTCATGCAGCAGACAGCCGTTAGAAACTCAAGATCAGGGCAGAAAGCACTTGATAGTTTTAGGGTTTAGGGTTTAAGGTCTAAACCCAAACTACAACATGCAAAATCCCGAAACAAAAAACACAGCAAGCCTCGCAGAGGCTCCATGCATTGCTCTGAGTCAAGTCGACATCAACATCCTAGAATCTTTCTGCGCAGTGGGTTCTTGTTAAAGGGTTTTATTTCAGTTACCATAATGGGAATCTATAGTATAAGTGTCCCCACATGTTTTGTGTGTATGCCCTTCGGGTGCACGGACTTACACGCGTTAATCAGAAACCATGCTCTCGCCACAAATGCATCGGACCTTTCTTCATCACACCGCACGAACCTCCATCGATCATGAGCTTCAGATTTAGTCAGACCTGTCGTTGGAGCA